AAAAAAAAAATACAATTTTATAATTACTGAACCATTCATCAATGCAGGCAACATCTGTGACCGTAACAAACATTAGTAACCTAAAAACTAAATTTGGGAAAAAAATTACATGAAAATTTCTGAACTAATATTAGATGTACTCTGAAGAGTAAGGTAGGTTTGGGAAGCCCAGGAACTGGATTTTAGAAGGGGGAAAAATTAATTTATTTCACAGATTAAACACTTCTGGTTCAGATGTAGCATATGGCGAAGGTGGGGAATGAGAGGAGCCTGAACAGATCCTTCCTAAGTACATCTGTTGTGATGTGATAAATAAATTATGGATTTGCAATGATCGAAAAGGAAAATGTATCTAAAATACATCTTCATAATGATAATCTTCTTGGTGCTATTATAAAAGCATATGGGTACTACTGGATACGAAAAAACTGTATCCGATGGCTGGCACAGAACACACTGTATACGTAATGTCAAATGAAGAAATATTAGCAAACCTGAAAATGATTTTTGCAACTTAACTGCGTCTACAATTTCAAATATAATCAAGTCTTTCGTAGCTGGTCGTATATTAAAACAAGAATATGCTACAGACTCCCAACTTTCTATATTATTAAAAACAAGTGGCCTAAGTTACGAATCTGAGGTCTGCGCCCCTCAACCATTACCAATGCTCGAGCCTTACACGTGCAATGCATCAATCACATGACGTATATGACGTAGCCTAAGTTTAATCAGTCATTGGCCTACCTGTAGGCATAGGTCGAAGTCTGAACATTCTGCACATTTTATTCTCAGCCCTGTGATGTCTTCCTGACAATAAGTACAGTTGTATTTTGCAAATAAATCTGAAAAGTAAACCCAATTTAATATCACTTTACCCCATCTGCATATAGAGAAATTAAAACTAAGTAACTAACTTCCGCTAACAACACATACCCGCCATGTCATTGCTTATGTGACGTCACAGCCAAAGACCAGTGAACGAAAATGTGTGATCACAAAGAATATACAGAGTTAAAACCTACTAGCATACAAATTCCATATGTGCTTTTATTATTGTCTAATGTAGGCATCCACTTTCAGTCTCTGCACAAGCACCTCTATGCGACATTTTAAGCACCAACTAACAAACTTCGCCACCTTGTATCACATCGTATACATACAACACTTAGCGTAGCTAAACAGACGTGGGAATTGTGCACATCGACGCACTCTATTGGTTCACTTTCTAACCTTGTTGTAAACAAATGACAGCACGGGGAGCTATTGTAATATATTATTTGAACATGTTAGGGGGAAATATGGGTAAACATTGTATTTTTATATACCACGTCAATGGATCATCACCTGTTCTGCAGTAGTACTACTGTACCATCAGTGATTGTGGCACTATTGCACCCACTGAAACATGCGAACGCCAACACGACATTACGCAAGAATTATCATAAACATGAGGTCATTGATGGATAGTATGCATTTCTTCTTTCCGTCACTTTCGGTAACATTTTTTATTTATTTATATGTTCTACGTACAAAATGTGTCGGCGCGATGTACCGTTTCGTCACAAAAACAAGAATGGAAATAATATTTATTTTCTACGTACGTTCTTTGCAATTATGCGAGTCCATTGGTCTTCCTGTCCTGTTAGCAAGCCTCAAGTCAGCTACTTTCTTTCTGCTTAACTAGTAATATCACGATAAAAGAACAATAGCCAGCTGTTTCTCTTCTCCTTTGATAATCTACTACAAAACTAATTCGCCTATTATAGAAGGGACAAGCTCTTTAGTGTCGTTCCTTAAGTGATCTCTTCAAAGAAAACCAAATTTCTATTACTTTAATGGCAATGAAATAGAATATCGCACCTCAGACATAAGAGGGGTAAGTAAAGTAAGTAAAGGTATCCCCTTAACAGGCCGTAGAGGCCCATAGGGCTGTGAAATGTCGAGGTACCCACATTTTCTTTAGGCAATCGGCTCACAGATGGCGGTATGTTTGTCAGTCTTACGCTCCGGTCGCTCTTTACCCCCCAGGAACATTCCTGGTATTCATTTCTGTTAGAGGCTTAGTCGACCCAAGGACCATAGTACGGCTGAAAGGATTAGGTAAACTGAAGAAATCCAATGACCTCATCGGGAATCGAACCCGCGACCTTCCGGCTTGTATCATAGTGCCTGCCGCGTACCCCCCATGACACTGACATTGTTCACCCAAAGGTGTGAAGTTGCAGGAGACACATAATGCATTGTCAAGGCAGCCTGAACACATGGAGAGACACAAGTGTATTTTCAAGGAAAGAAATTCACGGGTTTATGCATACAGACGAATATCATTGGTATATGACAGCGCGTCTGTAATAAGTCTCATGTCAGCAGGTGCAATTTTTCATACATAAAACGCAATTTAAGGAAACTAAAGTGAAACTATTTTCTTCTTTCACAACATATTATTTATTAAAAACTATCTTTTGTTTAAGTTTAATGTTCTTATGGATGTATAAGCTAGTGGAAGGGTAAAATTAATGCTGTTAGAAGCAGTGTTTGAAGGAGTAGAGGAAGATACATTGAATTTTGTCATCAACATAGACGAAGGTGAGTGAGTGGTCAGCTTCACACTCGAATCGCTCTCAGGAAAAGATCGTTGGATATTCAAATTGATTTGGGGGAAGGGTAAAGTGCACCGAGATAGCTATCAGAAATGGTAGCGAAGGAAACAGTTCCAGTTCTCGCCTGGAAATCAACCACGTAGGCATGTTTTATGCGGAAGCCAACAGTTTTATTGAATGATTTATTGGAGTTGCTCGCAGAATAATAAAATGATAAGCATTAGAAATATTCCCTGTCCAAAGATAGGTCATCTATATGTGTAACTATAGACGGGGTTTGGAGTGGTATTTTTTATTTATTGAACACTCACACACACCAGTTGGAACTACAAGTGCTCCCAACGTTATGGCCGATCTCCTAACTTCACAGATAACCACAACACCTGTTAAGCTTCTTATAGCCTGCTGTGCCTCCAACAGCCGTCCTCTAACAACGGCTTCTAAGAGTGGAAATTCTTCTGCTTCCCGCGCTCACGTCGTTACTGTCCGGCGAATATCCCACAACTAAAATCTTGTCGACTGTCAACTCAACTACAGCGCAATCTCTTTTCAGCCTGACTTGCAGAGCTCGACATTCGACTGCCAACCCCTAACTTAACTCTTCAGCTGGCCTGGGGTCCTCGCTACATAGTCTCGGGGTGGACCCAACAGAAAACACCGCCTCCAACAGTTCCTCTGTTGTTATTATGAGCAGTTGCATAGCGATAGCCCGGATATCTTTTCCGCGTTGCTCAGAAATGGCCGTTAGTTTATTTTTCCTATTGCATGGCAACGGGTGTACTCGTTGTTTACTTTGAGACCTCTGCCTAGCAACAGGTCTATGCGCAACAAATAATTTAATCTACGCTATACCAAAGCTAAATAGAAAGAGATCCATTGATACAATTCGTTAATCAGCATCATATGAACAGTTTTTTTCATAAAATAGTGACAGTTTCAAAAGTGATTCTAGCCAGTTTGAATATACTTTACTGTATCATATATTTCTGTGACATACGTTATAATGCTTAGTCATTTGTCCCCGAAATAATATATCCTACCTCTAGTATAGTAATGTCTGTCGTAAAAACAACACACAACGGATGTTTATAATATAAATCTGTTAGTTTTTGCGGTACTACAATATGCCAATAAAATTGTCAGGAAGAAACAATAGGCCCATCTACTTTAATAGAGTTTCTTTAAGTTATACGTGTTTGACTTACTCAGCATCTTTTTTCTTATTTTTCTTCGTTATTCCATCAAAAAGAATGGGTCATGTGAAAGCAAATTAGAGAGGCAGAAGTTTCAAACAGGTCTTTCCATTTGTTTATACGCAGTCATACATCACATTTCTTCTTCGGCAATCTGAATATGTCATGCTATGAGTTCTGCTTCCTTCGATCCTGTCTACTTGCCTCAATTAAGTTCTCGAGGCAGAGAATTCTATAGAGGAGAGTTGCTTGGATTTCAAGAAATTCTCGCTTCTTTTACGGATAACTGAGGTTTATTACAGCTTTATCAAGAGCCTCCAACTGGGTCTTAACCTCAGTCAGTTGATTCCACTCTAGACTTCTACACTTTATATTTTTAATATTTACTTTAATTTCATCATCCCATCCTCACCTAGGTCCCTAAAATAGAATATGTATTCTCAGATTTTGATGCTATTGAGGTCGAGGAGCAGATGGGTTGGGAGCATAAGGTGAATGCCACGAAACGGGACGTAACATTACAGAAGAATCAGAATAATGGCCTATTATGAAAAGTGTGTTAATTTTCATGTCCAGAATGTGGTCCATCCATGGACAGTGCAGTCGGAATAGAGACTGAGTAGGGGCTGGATGGCCGAGGGGTAGTTCAATTCCGTATAGTTGTAGGATTTTTCTCCTCTCCACGTCGTCGAGACTGGTTCTGAGGCCCACTCTACATCCTATCCAATGGGTACGGGATTAAAGAGACCGGAACGTGAAGCTGAACACTTACCTCAAACTATTGCTGAGGCCAAGATTTCCTGGATGTATACATCCATCCTCGCATACGTCTTCATGGCGTAGTGCTTAATTAAGCACGGGAACAGCTTTACCTTTTCCACCTACGCATCAGAGAGTAACTGCTCTTAGAGCATGAAGATATTCTCTTACCGACTTCTATGAATGAGATTTGAGAACATGTCTATTTTCACGACGTTGCTTAGTCACAAGCATATTTTCACGTGTAGAGGGATAGACGTGACGAAAATAACGGGTTCTAGTTCGGATGGTTGGATTTATTAGCACTTCTGTTACAATTTCTCTTAATTACAATTAATACAGCGCTATCGCTGATTTACACAGTTTCCAGTTCGCCGTTGTACACGCACTACGATTTTCCGTCTTCACTAGTCGTCTCCTAGCAACGGATCTCAGCACAGAAACTAGCACTTCAAATTATTATGAAATCTTCTTGTTATTTCGTCTTCAATCACTCTGTACTCATCTGTCCTAATTTGTACTCAACTAATTGTCACAGTTCACTAATAATATGCTCCATTCTCATCCCTGTACTCTCCACTGCACTGAACTGCACTGCACTCTCTAAATCACACACTCCCAACATCACTGNTATGCTACATTCTCGTCCTTGTACTCTCCACTGCACTGAACTGCACTGCACTATCTAAATCACACACTCCCAATATCACTGTGCTACAGTGCACATAGTCTTCAAATCACACGTTAAATCTTCACAGGCTTACTTCTTGTACTCTTCTGAACTCCTCGAGCTTAATGCTTGCTTGTTCGCGTGCTTCTGCCCCTAATATTTACTCGTAAATCGTAACTCGTAACTGCCTTGAACGTCGAGTCAGAGTCAAAGTCACATTGCGACTGACGGTCAGTCAATCAGTAAGGCTTGGTGTCGAGCCCCATCTGGAGCTCATGACCAGATCTATTTAACGGTTTCACAGTTACGGTCTTTTTTGTGTGTGTGTGTGTGTGGGGGGGGGCGCCCTCTCTGACGAGAGGATGGTTCTGTCTTCTGTATATGCTGCTGGTCCACGCCAGCGTAGTCTCTCTCAGGTCCGAGTCCCTTCGGACTCGTGACCATATTTTACTGTCTCAGATTTGAGACTTCCTTTTTCGCCGCCTCCTACGATTCGCAGGATCACGGTGGAGGCATCCGAGCCCTCCTCCACACGGGTGTGCCTTGAACGAATTCTGTCACTTATATAGCCGCTGAACGGACATGGACCTACACTAAATACATATCATGTGATCGCCATTGGCGCGTCGGTTGGATCTACAGAAACATTACTTCTTATATTATTGTGTATTGGACCGTATTTACAGAGCTGTTGCCTGGCAACGCGTTGATTAAATCCATCACAATATTTATTTTCATTAACAAAACAGAGTGATGTGAAATGGACTGAGATGGATAAGAATAAGTTTAAAATAGTTCCCACTTTGTTGGGATGATGAATATTCATGTTCCACACTACCCCGACAGCTAGCGTACATACTTACGAATTGTTGTGCATTATACTTTTCAAAATGCTCTCTTGTGTGTGCAGTGAGGAGTCGCAGACTCGCTGTGCACGTTGACGACCTTTTGTTGTTAATAAT